ACATACCACGTAACACACAAAAATCGATGTTTAGGTGTGTGTTTTTAATATTCACTTTTAAATTAAGATCATAAATAATGTATAATACTAAAATGTGAATATAATCTACAGTTTGGTATCAAACTTATTGAATGAATTCATAAAATAGTAGTTCAATAAAATTTTGAATGCGAGTCAACAAACTCAATGAAATGGCCTTTGACCCATGACCATAGGAAGACCCATAGAGATCGGGTTCATGTTTACAACTGTAAGATACTAAACTTAACATAATCATAATCAGGCTGTTTTAAAGAATAATCTCTTTTGTACTTCACATTATTAATATTGACATGTTAATTTAAGATAGCAGTTTGTGATTTTCTAAAAGTAACTGATTAAAAAACTGTTGAAAATTGGTCAACCATGATAACAAATGGCTTTAACTTTTAAACAAAAATAAATAAATTGTTTTTTATATGACTTTAAAAACTGTCTTCAAAACATTAATTTTTCATTGTTCTACTAAATCTTTGTTTTGGTATTGTTCCCGTTCTCATCCACCTTCACCTCTTCAGCTGTCTCGGACTTACTTTCAGGTCAGTTATTCAAAGCATAACGGCCTGTGTGAATGTATTAGCAAACTAGACCTCTTTTAGAGTATGTCTCTTGCATTTTTTATATAACGCAAACCTATGTGTATTAAAAGATTGCACTTTTCGTGTAGTAGGTGAAAGGAGGTTAAAGTTAGCAAAAGCTGAGGAGAGTGATGTACAAGTACTTTTCTATCGTGTTAAAGCAGAGAACTCTTTTGCTGTGAATCATCATGTACATCTTCAAGAACTTTTTACTTAGATAATTTAGTCTACAGATTTCCTTGTTTTTCTACTGAAGAAATTATACAGCACTTCTTCTTTTGTCGGTATCAGGCATGACTTCTGCAACATTCCCTAAGTAGGATGTTTGTTTTTCTTTTTTTTTTGTCAGTATCAGGCATAGCTTCTGCAAGCTTCCCTAAGTAAAATGTCAAGGATAAGAAACTTTGTGTTTGCAATTTTTAGAATATGTTTGTGTCCATGTACGTTTGGTAAAGTGCAAGTTTATTACAATTCTTAAAGGTTTAAGGATTTGCTTCCTTTCAGAGTTAGTGACTGAAGAAACAGATTGCTCTGTCATAATAAATATTCAGAAGAAAACATATTCTCGGGGAACCTGATTCAAGGATAATGATCTATTTACAGTAATTAGAAGTTTGATCATCTTTATTTTCTAAAAGAAAATTCAAGACCTGAGTTAAACAACTGTAGAATACTGTGTGATGGTCATGTACTTTCTTTTGAAATAACTGCCAGCTTTCTTGATGTTGGTGGTTTTACCTATTACACTACCAAGTAACTTTTCATAATCTCATATATTTTTTTCAGCCTCTTACTTGCTTGTTTGCATGCCTGTGGTTATACAGATTGTCCTGCACACAATTGGAGTTGGTGTAATAATTATGAAATTTACAGCTGCCTCATTTCTTAGGTTACTAAAGTCTTTGTGCATGCTTCTACCACTTTCAACCTTAAATAATGATCAGATTTTTAGAATTCCACATACACTAGAAGAGTTGATAGTTGATACTAGGTCAGAAGTTGTAGAGCTTGACATGTGTACTTGATTGCAGCTGACTAGTATAAATTTTTGGTTATATTCACTATACCTGTATTGTATACTACTCTTACCATCAACTTACAGGCACAGTTTTTCTGCTCTGTTGTTTTGAGAGTCAACAAGCCATTCCAATTCGAAACTTAAATAATGTAGAGTTGATGAGATGGAGAAACTTTAAGATGGTGCTGCAGTGTTTTACTTCATGAAGTTACAACAGTATCTTCAAATTATTCTTTATCATATGCTATTTTGTTTCAATTTTGATTAATGTTCTCTTACTGGTACCTGAGTAGGCCTTCTATTAGCTTTGGGTTTGTTAACACTTAAGAATTTGATAGTTTTCATGTTAAGATGTCTTATTTCATTAACTTATTTAATGCAATTATTCTGAAGAACAATGAAAAAAGATTTAACTATGGAAAATTAAAAAAAATCTTATGGCTTAATTTAATGTGAAGGATGATACTGCTTTGCTGAAAAAATCTCGCAAATTTTTAAGTCAATGTCTGACAGTTTCAAATGAAGATCTGCTCCACATTTATCTTATTTCTATACTTTGATTTTATATAAGCAAGTTGAGAGAAACCACACATTTTATTTTAATCATTACCCTTTCAGTAAATGGTAATTTCAGAAATTTGATGTATTGCTTAAGTACTATCACAGACCACAGTTTGGGAACCTCTGAGTTAAATGATAGCCCCACTAATTGATTACATTTGATTAATTGATCAGTACAGTGTTCCTCAAATCATGGTACCTACAAACAAAAAAAACAAAATAGTTGGCCATGAGTTATTCACCAGTGGCCTTCTTTCTAGCCAGCAGTTAAACAACCATAACAAAAGGAAAAAGGTTGGTGATTAAGTACTGCCACCAGTTGCCTTCTCTCTAATCAGCAGCTCAAAATTAGTGACAGTGGCAGATAGCCTTAATAGCTTTCTCTTAACAACGACGGGTGAGCAAGTTTGGTTGCAATATTTCAATTACTTGGATAGTTTGAATTATTTAAAACAGTAATAAGTGGAAACCCTAATTTCGATTAATTAGTTCCCATGACAATAATTGTATAAATGCTAATTAGTTAAGTCATGAAACTGTACTGATTGCACCTCTTTTTATGTTTAAAAGCACAACAGTGTAAAAAATTTTGAAAGTAGCTAGGCCATTTCTGTAGGCCTAGACTTAGTAATAAAATATGATTTAGTATGTACAAGTTTGCTTAACAGATCAATTCATGCTATCCTAGTGAGCTAGCAGGGTTTGTACATAATTCTGCTTAAATAAAAAAAAAAAATAATGATAATAATATGCTAGTAATATTACCGGATTACATCCTGTTTATAAGGGCCACCAGTTGATAAGTGCCAGATGTTTGTGATCATATCTATCTGAATTGATAAGGCTAGTTTCTTATTCTAACTGTGGCCATAAAAATAAATCTTATAAGTATTCAGAATATTTTAATCCCTGAAATGTGAAACTTTTTGTTAGTTAGTCACTTTTTATCTTGATTATAATTTTATAGTGACCTTCTTTATTCCATGTTTAAGTCCATCATAAAAAAGCTTCACAGATTGATGATACTTTCATGTACATGAAGTCTTATTTCATTGCTAAGCCCCAGATTTTGTTAACTCCACAAAATCAGTTAATTTTGAATCTTGCACTTGGACACTACTTTCCAGCTGCAAAATGTATTATAAGTTCACAACTGAGGGAGGAAAATGTCCATCATACTCTAGGTATTTATAAGAAGTAATATTTTTTTGTAAAATTGTTTTTATGGCTATGGTTAGAATAAGAAACCAGCTATATTAATTCAGATAAGCCTCATCAGAAACGTCTATACATCCACCTATCCGACCCTTATAAACAGTGTATTGTCTCATTTTCAGTATCTACATTGGGGGGGGGGGGAGTTGGTGCATAAATTGACGTACATGTAACTGACAACAATTATGTGTGATTTCCTTAAGGAGCCTACAGAAATTTAAATATGCCAGTTTTTTTCGCCATATAAAAAGTTTATTAGGGTCAGGAGTAGGAATTAAGCATTGGTAGTTAAATCTAGATAATTACTGAAGAAACTGTGTGGTCAGTCTCAGCAGAATAGAACTTGAGTAGAAACACTGTTAGGTGTTGGCTCCTAAAAACCATTATATTGTGTGCAAAATTGTCTCTGCTTAAAAGTATAATGGGTACTTAAAGGCCAGTCAGTGAGACATCCATAAGTTTTCAATTTCAACTAATCAGTGGAGTTAGTACAGTATATTTAGTTGTCAGTACCAGCATTAATGCCCCCAATGGCACAGCGGTATGTCTGTGGACTTACAATGCTAGAATCTGGGTTTCAATATCTGTGGTGGGCAGAGCACAGATAGCCCATTGATAAAACCAGCATTAACTTTTTTTTTTACTTTTTGAAGTTTGTATTTTTAGAGCAGGATTTGGTATTTCAGCATATTTTCCCAACTATGTCTATATATAATATGTTATTAGGAGTGTTGCATTCAGAGTTAACATTTATTTGTTGACTACTTGTCATAAAGATTTAGAGAAAAGAAAGAATGAAGATAATAAAAATGGAGACATAACTTTGGAACGGGATTTTCCGAGAGAAGAAGAGATTGCTGGTGTGAAAAACTGGAATAAACCATCCAGTGAAGCCTATGGCATAGCTACAACACTATATGAATGTCACCCTCTCACAAAAGAAAATGCAGGTGAGGTAGAATTTATTTAATAAGTACAGTGTAAGTAGTGAGCAGGATTATCATTGTGTCAAATGGGTGTATTGATAACTGTAATAAAGCTACATGTACAAGAGGAAATGCTAGGAAAGTGGTTGACAAGCTAGTAGAAACAGTGTGCTTTATTTACCCTACAAAAATACTAAATATTGAAAAAAAACTTGTGTTCCATTCTGTTATTGTAAAAAAACTTTTGGCAGAACAGTAGTTCCCAAACTTCTTCATGGCATGGCTTTTTGCCTAGAACCCTAAAAATACCATTTTTGCCACAATCAAACATTGAAAATATTTTAATAAGTGATAAAGAATTTAGTCCTTTATTTCTTGTTTTGTCATTTCTGTTTTCTTTTTTATTGTATATTTTATTTATCAATTTTTACTGGAATTTGTTTCATTTTTACCTGTATATGTTGTGGTTTATCACCACTCCATGCATTATGTGGTGCTATATAATATTTTTTTTTTATTCCTCTTCTTTTAATTTTCATTGTGTGGTATGTTATTTATTAGTAAACAGTAATTATAATCATTTCTTGTTGTAAATATCCAGTTTGATTTTTACAGTATTATACAACTTACTGTTTAAAGAATTAGCAGAAAGGTTTATAACAGGTTTGTAAATGAGCACTTCACCACAGTTTCTTCTTCTTTTGTTTTTTTTTACTAAAACAGGTGAACCAATTGCTGATGCTTTTGGAGTGTGTTTGCGAGAAAACAATGCTATTCTAGTATTAGCTGATGGGGTGAACTGGGGGGAAAAATCTTGTCTTGCGGCAAGATGTGGTGTTCATGGTTGCATAGATTACCTCAATAAAGCTCTATATCGTGAAGGAGGGAAAGTAGAAACCACCTTGGTAAGATTGTTTAAATATTTAGTGGTATAATTTTTACATATACTACTGGAGTGTTTGCTTGAAAATGGAAATGGAACTTTTTTGAATTTTAGGCAGCTAAGATATTGCAACCCCATTTATTAATTTATTAGTGCACTGCCCAAGCAAGCAAAAATAAGTCAGCAGTTCAAAAAGAAAAAACAGGATATTGAGGGTGGGTGCTTCCAGTCAGTTACCTTCCTAGCTAACACTTCAATAAGAAAACTTTTGGCAACAGGTTCTGTCAAACAATTATTTTCACCCTAATCAGCAGTTCAAAATTAGTGACAGTGGCAGATAGCCTTAATAGCTTTGACATAACAAAGATAGAATGAGTAAACAAGTACTATTGGCCTTTTAGCTTTATTTATTGAATATATATATATATATATATATATAACTACACACACACACACACACACACACACACAGTTATATTTCACCTATAATAAATTTTGCTCAAAAAATTTTTTACCTAAATGTTCTTTCAACCATTAAAGATTTATTTACATTTGGTAAAAATAAGGTGTAATACTTTATGAAATAAGACTTTCATTCTTTCTGTAAATTCTTGGAAACTGAATTGTACCTTGTTCGTATTAAGTAATAGGTCAAACAGGTGTCATGTTGCACTTTATACATGTATCTTAGTACATTAACTGGACATTTTATTATGGACATCTATGCATATTTATTGAACATTAATTTGCATATGCATAATAGACTTAAAACTTAATTATATCAGTTGATTGTTTTAGCTCTGTAGATATAGTTGTAATGTTATTAGCTTGAGAGCCAGTACATATGAGCAACGATTTTTCTGAGTTTGTTAATAGTATAATAGTAGTGTTGAGTAGCTGAAGAGTAATTATCATAGATTTTTTATTTGACCAACTGAACAAAAACTTCTGTCATCAGAAAATATAACAATGAATATTGAAAGAGAACATGTCTTACACTAGGAATATTGTGGCTAACAACTGCTGGAGACTGTACGAACAAAATAAGAATTGGAAAGACTTGTAAAGAGCAACAGATATAAGACAGTATTCCAACTGACCAATTCCTTCAGCAGTTGTACAATCCATTCAAAAAGCTATTTATCTTTGACATAAACAGAAAAGGAAGGATAAATGGTGAATTTTTGGAAGCATCTAATGTGGTCAATTGAGTTATCTTTCACCCTTGTTGTTTTGCCAGTACATGCAGCTAGAGGTGGTGTAATAATGTGGTAGAGTTTGGGTCCTTTGGTTACTTTTGAAAAGCATATAACCCACAGAGTGTGTTTGAACAATCTTGCCAATCACACCTACCCTGCAATGCTGTATTTCTACCATAATGGGCAAGTACTGTTTCAAGACAAAGATGCAACAATCTTACCAACCACACCTACCCTGCAGTGCTGTATTTCTACCATAATGGGCAAGTACTGTTTCAAGACAAAGATGCAACAATCTTACCAACCACACCTACCTTGCAATGCTGTGTTTCTACCATAATACGAAAGGACTGTTTCAAGACAAAGGTGTAAAAATCTCGCCAATCTCACATACCTCGCAAATCTGTATTTACACCATAATGGGTAAGGACTGTTTCAAGACAAAGGTGCAATAATTCATTACACCTATATTACCTGTAATTGGTTCAGAGAGCATGACAGTGACTTCATTCATCTTCCTTATCCAGTAGAATCATTGAATGTCAATCTCGATAAACAAAAGTATGTTTGGGATGAACTTGAACATTAAAGTCACTAGTCTTATCTTCTGCCAACATCTGTGAACTAATTGCAGTTTATACTTCTCAAAAAGTTATTGTAGACTACTATGAAAAACAACAACAAAAAGAAAAAATTCTCACATCATTTAGAACCTATGCCATAGTGAGTCTGGGTTATTATTATGACTAAAATTGTGGTCCATACCAGTATTAGATGGGAGGATCTTAGTAAGCTAGTCAGTCATTGTTCATAAGCCTCTATCAGAATGTTGATCTATAAAAAGTTGAAAAGAACATAAAGCTCACTTTCAAATGACTCGAACATGTTATTTGGAAATGGAGTTTACTCTAATAATATTGTAAATATTGTAATCAACATTAAATATTTCTTTACACTTAATTATATAACTGTATATTAAAATTATTTAAGTATAAATAAAAAGTCATATTAACCCAATGCACTCGGTCCATGTTGAAGTCACATGTCACGATCTTTTAGTTACATTAAAAATTCAATTAAACAATTTTATCATCAGTGTATGTCACTAAGCTTGACATTAAAACATAGTTTATAATTATTAGTTTTAATTTCTTAATTTCAAGAGGAAATAATTAAATAAACTCTCAATCTTCACTTCTCTTGCTATGATTTATTAGTTTCTATAGGAGAGAGGGTCCAAAAGTACAGTAATAAAACCTTAAAATTAAAAGAAAGTAAATGTGAAAGATTAGAAACTTAGGCTGCTAAGATAAATAATTGTAACTGTTATGAACTGCTATTGGTCTAGAAAATATGGTATTATTTGTTTTATTTCATATGTTTCAACTTTTCATTTTACTGTATACATTGTTGATTTAGTGTTAGGGTAGAGAAAATAATAGATAAAATATAAAGTTTTACTTAACCCTTGATATTCATTTAGGAAGTTCTAGAGGTTATGTAAATGAAATATAAAAACTGTAACTTGGAAAGAAATATTTTTATTCTTAGCATGGATATAAACTTTCACTGAAACTGGCTTGGTAAAGGTTTTGTAAAATGACAGGTAAATGTTTAGTAAAAATATTGATTTAGTGTGTGCAACAGACTCGTAATTTTTACTAAAAGCTTGCCAAATTTTGTGAAAATACACTTGGTACATTCACAGTTATAGTATGTATAGTTACATGGTGGATATAAAGTTGGTAAAGTTAACAAAGCCTATAAGGTCTGGTTAAATGTATACTGTGCTAGATGTATTTGGAACTAAACATGCAATAGGCATAATTGAGAATTGGTAGTTAAATGTTAGAATTATTTAAACATGGTATTGTATACTTTGAAATTTTACATTAAAAACAAAATATTGTTCACCATAAAATATCAAAAATATTATAGATTATAAAAAAAAAGTATCATTCAGTCTTTGATTTGTTTTCTGCAACTCTACAAAGGCTTAGAAGTATATAAATAATTTGCAATTTTATAAAATGACTTTAATTATATATATATCTATAATATTCTATTTTTCAACATTTTTCAATCACAGGACATTTTCATTTGCCTCCTGCGGTCCTTCCATGCAGCTCATAATTTGATTCTTCAGGAAGGTGGTATGCTAACAACCTTATGTGCTGCCATTATTTGTGAAATGAAGAATTCCAACAAATTTATTGTTTGCACTTGTAATGTAGGAGACAGCCTTGCCTATGTGTACAGTAAGAAGTATGGTGTGCGAGAAATCACTCAAGGTAATAATACATGAAATTATGTGCTTTTTAAGAGCTTCTTTTAAATAATATAATGTCATCTGTAATTAAAAATTTCCATTCTTTTCTTCCATATTGAAAATATTTAGCTTACTTAGTAAATAATTACTGTTAAGCTATTATTACAAATCTTGTTTAATTCAAAGTTGATCTTTTGTGATATAATGTTCATAGTTTTATATGATTATATTAGCCCATAAGAATTTTTATTCTGTAGTTCTTAAGAAAACATGTCGATTACAGCTATGTAATACTGTTGAAGTCATGTATTTTAGTGCCAGCACTTAAGCTTGTGTAGAGTACTGTATTAAGTGAACAGCCAGTGGTGTTCTTCAAGATTCTCCCAGTCCAGAACATTACGTATAAAATGTCAGGTATAATCTATTTAACACAAACATTTGATACCTTATAATCCGAGTGCTTTTGAAAGGCTCTAGGGAATCAAATGTTTGTGTTAAATTAGTTTCTTGAGGCTACGTGTTTTTCTAACATCATGAAGATATTGTCTCTTTGTATCACTGCCTGATGAACCTATTTTCTATCGACTCTTGATTTGTTTTTACAGTAGTTAGCTTCTCTGATACACCAGAGAAATTAGCTCATTTGTCAGGCTTTCACTCACAGGTACATTCTTGTTACCTGTGTTCTTAGAAAGTTGTGTTAAGTTACATATTGTAACAGTCGTGTATTTAAAAATTAAGTTCAGTATCTTAATTTGGTAAAGAATGAGGTTTGAATACTGTTATTTTTGGTATGAATAAAATGGAAAAGTTCCTATGAAACACCTGGGTATTTGGGTAAAGAAACCAAAACAATACAATCACTTAGGTCTTTTGAAATTATAAAATAATATTTTATTCTTAATCACTCCATCATTAGAAACAGCATTTGATTAATATTGGAAACTTTAACGTTGTTGTAGATTCAGCCTAACAGTATTTCAGCTGACTATGGTGTCAACTCAGTACCTGAGAACCAACAACATTGATCCAGTTTTATTTATTCTTGGGTGAAAAAAACTATTTTATTGTGCTCTTAATAGTTCTTAACATATTGTAGTTTTTATTTATTGGGTAATTTCTATTCTTATAGTAGCATAGAGCAACCAGTGTACCTGTCTGTGCTTGGCATTATCTTCTAATTTAACACTGTAGTCAGATTTTTTGTATGGCATAAGTTAATATAGGTAGTTGGACAGAACTAGAAGTTGATATAAAAAAAAGTAACCATAAAACATTTTCTGTTTTTTAGGATCTCATGACATTTATTCAATGAGAGATATGAGAGATGCTCTCGGTGCTCTTGGGCCTGTTGATGGGCAGAATCCTGAACTTAGTAATTTGACTGTTGCCATGACATCAGTTGACCCTGATGATATAGTGTTTTTAACAAGTGATGGGATTTCTGATAATTTTGACCCTGTGGTTGGAAAATTTGCTCTTCCTAAGAAAACGGAAAGAAATGCACCAAAGGCAACAATGGAGGGAAGCCAAGATGAAAGCCAAAACCAGAAAGAAAAGCTGCTGCAGAGATCATGTAGTAATGGAGATGAGAAGCACAGCCCCCCAACAGAAATAATCTTACCAGTGGTTGAGGCCCATCAACGACACGAGCTCACACTTCTACGAATGGAAGATCTCCTCACATTTGGAGTGAATGAAGGCGATGGGCTTTGTGAAACTGCTCGTCAGCTTTGTGAACAGTTGATTGATTTTGCTACCAAGTTGACAGTAGCTAAGAGAAGGATTTTGGAAGATCCTGAACTTTACAAAGATAGTGCTGCCGCTTTGAATCAACTTGAACAACGGAGACGTCGTCGAAAAGTTGGGGGAAAACTAGCAATGGTCCCTGGCAAGCTAGATCATGCCACAGTTGTAGCTTGTAAGGTCATAACCAAAACTTCATCATCAACTGTAGTTCCTCCGAATACAGCCATGTGAAAGTATTTCTGAGCAGTTTAGATGCATTTCAATGAATAATTGCTTTCATGTGTGCTTGTATAGCCCTTATCTTAGGCTATTTCATTCAAACTTATGTGGTGATATTCAGATGCAGGATCATTTAGTTTCTACAAAACCCTTTATATTAGGCAATTGCATGATTTTTTTTACACAACCTGCTTTCCTAATAAGACAGTTTTGTTTCTTCAAATCTGTGGGATATTTCATCATTTATCAGGGATCTTAATATTTATGAAGATGGGAAGATTTAATTATTTGTACCTTTAATTTTATTTCCAATATTTTGTAGTTATTTAGAGTAACAAAGTAGACCAATGATTATTGCTAGTGGGATTTCTTACATAAAATACCCTGTTATTTTATGATTTTCTATGATTCTTTAGAATAAGATTGTATTAAATGGGCTTTGTCTCCAGTCTTTATATATATATATCACGCTATTACATCTATCTACTCTGTAAGGATTAGCAAGAACTGAAATGTACTTAGAAAAAGGTCTGGTGTGCATGACCATAGATACAAGTACTATTTGTTGTGTTAACATGTAATTGACAGTTAATTAATTGAGGTGGAGTTTTTATATTGTTCCTGTGGGTATAAGAAATTTCAGACATGGCAGATGGCACCACTGCAGTACCTTCGTGGACACAAGTTTGAGAAACACTGCTTTATGGTATTTTGTGTTGACCTGCATAATTTAAGGTAGTACTGTTGTGGCTTATTGGTTGAACTTTATAATTAAATTCATAGAAAGAAAAGAATATACTTTCAGGTTTTTTTTTCAAATTTAAATTATCCTTTTTCAGCTTTACAAATCAACTAAAATGAATTTTGTTTCTATATTTTAAACATGTCCGAAAGAGAAAGTTATTAATACAAGTCTAATAACTCATTAATAATAAAGGTGAAGACAGTTAACAAAACACAAAACATTTTATTTACAAAGTTTGAACATTTCGGAATACACTTATTCCATCTTCATTGAAATCTGAAAACAGTGTTACTAAGATATTTATTAACTACAACTATAGTATGATTAATCACTAGTTAATTATTGAGTAAAGTGGTAAATGGAAGGATGAAAAAAAATTACAGATTATATTGTGAAAAAGCTGAATTTGTGTGTAAATTTATAACATTTTTTTAGGTCTAAAGAGGTTTGTAAGTCATTAAGAGTAGGGTGGTGGTCTTTAGCTATGAATAAACTTTCTTTAATGTAGAGTTCAAGGTCTGAAGATCCTGTAGTAATGATAGAGAAATTGTCATATTAAATATTGTGATGTGTTTTCAACATGTGATTGAATGGGTTTGAATAGTGGACAGTTGGTTCTATTTGATACTCCTAAATGTTCACAGACTGTAGTTTTCAACTGGCATTTTGTTTTGCCATGCAAGTGACTTTACATTCACTACATGTATACTAATATACAAGCCATGAATGTAGAAGTTTAGGTAGTTGGTATTTATATTAAAATAAGTGTTTAATGTGGAGGCTGTAGGTCTGTATATTAGTTTGAGCTGAACTTGGAGATAGAAGTTTTTATTAAAGAGAAGAGTTGTTTTTTTAATTTGTAAGGACTGTAAGCCCATAAAAGGAAAGGAGATACTGAGGGGAAATTTGGGGATGGTGTGCACAATAGCAGAAAACTGTGTGTAATATTTGTTAGAAAGTCGGTCAGATGGCCATTATTTAGCAGTTGTTTGTGCAGAAGTGTAATTTCTCTGTGTAAAATAGAATAATTTGAGCAAAGATTAGAAATTCAGTTTAACACTGACATGACTAGGTTATGTTTGAAGAAGTTGGGGATAAAACTATTAAAATTAATATAAAAGATTTTAAAAGTACTTTTACGATAAACAGAGTTAAAAAAGTGTTTAACCTTCATTGGTAATCCTGACATCTAGGAACTGTAAAGATTCATTTTCTTTGAGTTTGAATGTGAACTTGATGTTGGAGTGTTTATTATTAGACTTTGTTTGACCCATCATAACTCCTTATCAACATTATAATAAAGTTATCACAAATTTTGAATGGAACTTATTGATGGAAAAAATAAGTAAGTATTGACATGAAAATAAATTTGGTGTAAACAAGACAATCATTCCAATGGCATGGCAATGCTTAAAAGAAAAATTGGGAGGGTTTTATAAGTTGTTTCTTATGGTGCAAAATTCTGATTCAGATGATTGCTGTACATGCAGTCCTTACTCATTACAAGAGATATATGTTTTATTATGTTCTGTTGCAAAATTCAAACCTGGTGTATGATAGAGAATTATTAAAACTTTAAGGTAAAGAAGAAGAAGAACCAAACAACTTTCTGAACTTGTCCTGTTGGTCTGCTGTTTACGAAATATAAAATAAAATAAAAAATTATATGCACAGTGGTACATTTAGTTAAATAAATCAGTTTAAGTTCATGAAGATTCCACACAAATATGCCAGCTATTTATTTTTAATGTACTAGTATAAAAAATAAGCAGTAAATCACAATTCGTTTTTGAAATTTTCTACAAAACACAAGCTTTTATTACAATTTAGTTATATACCTTTATACAAGTGTAAATTTTGATTTATTTGTGTGCCTTTATGCAAATAAACCATAAATATAAGCTTTTTGAAAAGTAAGAAGTAAATCACAATTCATATGTGAAACTTTTACAGAATTACACTTTAGTTATGTTTTTTTGTGAAAACAATCTATGAATTACAACTCATTGAGTACTTTATAAAAAGTGTAAATTTCATTAAGGTTCTGAGATACATTATAGGATAATATTTTTATCTGCTGCTAATTGAATAGTTTTATATCAGGAATAATAAAGTTTATCATTGACCAATTCCAACTTCAGACTTCCCAATAAAGTAGTAAACAAGACAAAAAACATTTATTTGTTCATCTTTGTCTAGTTTGTGGTGTGACAAGGTTCTTTGCTTGATACTGATCATGTAACAAGATTTTGAATTAAGTGTTTAATGACCAGTATCTGAAAGTTTGATCTATTAATGTTTAAGTGGAAATATGTAATTATTTAAATTGTTATGATATATATATATATATGTATAGAAACTTGGAAATAGCACCAAATAGCATGAACTGTTTAGAAATTTTTTTGTTCCATGGCTTGATCTGATGCTGTTTTACGTTTTAAACTATTTTCACCCCATGTAAGAAATGTTATTGAAGCTGATCATTAAAGAAGATACCCATGATAAAGCACCTCCACATCACCAAAGAATACTTTGATATTTGATATAGTGTAATTTGATTTTTATGGTTGATAATTTCTAGTTTAAACTTCTAAGTTAATTTGTAGTGTGACACATATTCATTGATATTTTTTAATTTTCAGATTTTAATGTAATTCAGTTAACTCTTTTCTGAATAGTTATGATTAGTGTGTCTTAACTGTGTTGGAGTATTTCAACATAGGAAAATATTGAACATTAAAAGATAGATACCATTAAAGTTATTAATTTTCAAGGATTTTAACCACTGGCTTTATGATGGTGTTGTTATAATTTACTCTTGAACAAGCCTGCTTCTTATAATTCATACAGCAAAGTATGGAAAATGTCTCGTGTTTCTGTCCTTGTAAATAAATTTGTAAAAATGCTATACAAATGTATATGTACATGTTATTTCTACTTTTGTAAAAGATGATTTTTATGTAAACTTCGAAATGAATCATTTATCGGTATCAGTTTAAATTTTCCAATGTATGTTTACAGTTATATTCACAGTACGCATAACTTGTACATAACTATCTTCCCTCGTTGTATTTTCAATTATTTTGTTTTTATTGTAATTTAAAATATTTAGAGATTTGTAAAAAATGAAAACAGTTTTAAGTGGGCTAAAACTTCTTACATCTTGTTACAGAAATGAAAGTATTTTGATCAAAAAAAGTGAAAAATGTGTAGAATGTGATAGGTGTAAACTGTTGCCGTAAATAAATATGAAAAATTTAAATGACTGGAAGCATATTTTCTATTTCTCCTTAATTTCGAGAATCACAAAAAAGTTATTCAAGAAACAACATGCTAAATATTACTGTGAAAAGTATTTAGACGCATTAATCAATATTCATCCTTGACTGTAAAAGTTATTCAACATACAGCACTTATTCTGGTAAGAAACATTAAAGATAACTTGATAGAGATTACCTAACAGGATTTTTCAAGGCCTTTTTAAATTATATATATATATATATTCACCTATTAGAGGTGCATATATATTTTTAATCAAAACAAAAAGAAATTCCAATATATTACTACTAAATCCTTTAAATAATTTCACTTGTTAATTTAGAAGCAAATATAGAAATAGTTTTATAGTAACTGTATTTAGTCTAAATATACAGCAGGAAAGGAAAATCAATTTTTGAAGGCATTACAGTAGCATTTTCCACACATTTCTAAAATTGCATATTAATGTGAAGGTTGTATGAAAAGTGTTAAGGGCTTTCTTCGTAGACTGTTTGACAATGACTTTTTATTTTTTATTACATTCACTTTGTGATGTACTATTTGATATATAACCGGGAATCGTTTGCAAATTTACTTCATTGCCTGATTTTTTAATTTGAGGCTTATGGAAAGCACATAAGCTTTTTAGAAAGCACAAATGTTATCCGATATAAAATGTCAACATAATAAAAAAAGGGCAATATTTGGAAAACACTCAGTGTTCTTTTGCTGCATTTTCAATCTTTATCAGATTTAATTGAACATACTCAAAAAATATTATTTTTGTTTTTTAAAGCTGATAAGCAGTACCAGGTTGAACATATGACTGAACACCAGTGCTACCATTTTCTACCAAAACTCAAAGTGATAGTCTGGTAGAACTGAATACACTTACCTCCCTCACATAATTAGCTATTCTTGTTCAGTGCTGCCCTCTTTATGCAACAAAAATTGCATATGCCCCAAACCTTTCGCCTCCCCTCCATTGGAAATGACTCATTCTAATGTGTCTCTCATGCAAATCAGCATGCGACAACTCTCCACCAATGAGAGTACAATACAATCTCATTATGCATGTAACTCCCTCTCTATCAGAAATACACTTTCACTATAGGAAAATTATAAGTTTCAGTGAATTGGTAATTTTCAGCCATAATATTTACTGCAAAATAGAAAATATATGATTAGAATTACGTTTTTGAAATTTATTTGGTTTTTCAGATATTCATGCAAAGCTACACATTATGTAGTCAACAGTGCCCATTTCCAGCTCTTGTACTACTGTAATTGAATAGTGAGATTTGACCATCACTTTTATAATGCAGTAAATTTACTTTTGGCAACAGGATCCAAAATATAATCCATTGAATCCACAATCTAGCATGCTAAGCACTAGGCCATTATTAAAGATAAAATGGATAGATTCGCATCAGGTTAAAGTCAATATAACATATTTATGGATTTTATTGACTTTGAAGGTGCTCATCTGTCAAAAATGTGTAACAATAAATTGAACTATAACATTGTATTGAAGCAGTCAGTCAATGGTACAAAAAATGTCCCTTGTGAACTTTATATATCAGCTCTTATGACCTCTGTCTGTGAAAAGCAGGTAAAAGAAACAACCATTGTCATTATTTCCCCCCACCCTTTGGAAACCAGAGATTTTTATTCACTGGCTTGTAAAATAACCATAACTCTAATTACATCACATTTATAGAGTCCAAACAATCAATGGACACATAACATGATTAGTTTTTGTATACTCAACAAAGGAAGTGTTACACAAATGTGTGAGTGGGAAGCCCTATTAAAGTGGCCAGTCACAAGTCAGTACACGATATAAACTAACTTTTAAGAAAATCTGTCTCTCTCTGAAATGAAATAATATACCTTTCAAAGATTGTTAAGTTATTCCAATCACAAGTAGGGCTGTGCTATTACCATGCTCTATGCCCTCCAGTGGCTCAGTGAAAGTCTGTATGCTTAAATGCTAAAAATCAAGTTTCAATACCCACAGTGGGCAGGGCACAGATAGCCCATTGGGTAGTTCTTTGCTTAAAACTAACAAAAATGCTCATCAACATATAAAGTGAATACAAAACATTTACTAAGACATAGTGCAATTTCATTTTCTAAGATGTAGTATCCTGCTAATATAATGGTTGTTACAGGAGACAACGTACATACCCACATCTTTCATTCTTAAAAGTTGTACTTGTACTTTAAGATGAACTAAAAAAAAATTTAGGTGCTTGTTTTCATTTGCTTAAGAAGAAACATCAGTTTGTAAAGCTTACCATATTTTTAACTATATATAGGGCAGATTAATGAAAGCATTTCTCCAAGTCTTGCAATTAATGGTTGAACTTTGTGGTAATTTAACCACTCATCTTGAAAAACAAATGAACTATACAATTTAAAAAAAAAATTTCTGTACATCATATTTTAAGGAATAATATTGCAGAAAAATGCTAGTGATAAAAATTAATAAGTGTAATGAAAATATATTTTAATTTACTGTATCTGTTTTTTCAGATAAGTTCTCTTTAATACTTTTAAGGCCTTTTTGGGTTACTATTGTTCTTACAACAGAATAAGTTATGCAGTTTTCTTATTAAACTTGTTTCCTATCACATTGTCTGCACTCAGTAGTACTAAGGTATTGTTAAGGGCCATTTCAAAGCATTATATCTTCTATATCTGTTCAGTTGACTTGAAGTTGATCCTCCCCATAAAAGTTGAAATGGCCTTTATTAAAGTGTTGAACATGGCAGAAAGCTTGTTCGTTGCAAAATTTATAACAAAGTTCAGTTTATATAGTTTCACGTAATATGCTTAAGATTAGTAAATACTTCAAACAGAAGCTTTTATATTTTATACACTATTTTTATTGCATTTCAGTTGTATGGTGATTTTTGTATTTACTTGACAACTTGTTGATATATAAAAAAATATTTTATCTGTACTATTGCTGGGTTTTTATTTTTGGTGAAAATTGGTTACACTACAACAATTATTTTTTCTCTTTTTACAGAGTTATTGTAAGTTTTGTATTTCTATGAAAAAAATAACAACAAAGGTTCTACACGTGTGTGTGTGTGTGTGTATATACACATATATATATACACACACACATACACAGCCATATATTTGTGCACACACATCACATGTCCAACAACACCTAATCCATACTTGAAAAATGTGTGTGTCCACTGATAGCAACCGAGCCACACAGCTGTACTGATTGTCACTGAACCTAGGGGGGGGGGGTAATTTGGATGTCATCTCCCAGGGCCTGTCTTCCTCATGCATTAAATAGGTATGTCAATTAATATTATATAACCAAGTACTGACTTGGACATAAATGGTGTGACTACTATCTTACCAGAAAACTTTCAAAATTGCATTTTACATGTGACTGCACATCTAAATTATGTACCATTTAAATATTTATTTACAGCTATAGCCTATACTTTGATATTGCTTTTTTGCTATTGAAACAATAATTGCTTTTTCCATGCTTAATCTACTAAAAACTCGGGAGGTTACAATAAGTTAATACTGGCCAAAATACATTTAACAACATTGACACTCAGGAAACTACCCCTTTTGAGCTCTGTAACAACTCTTATACAAGTGTCACCTAACAGAAAGCTTGATTAAATTGTACTAAACACATTGTAACTAAATCACTCACATATGGAAGTTACTTAAGTCTGATTCATCATGACCTGGTGATCAAGCAGCACATGCACAAACCAGAACATCCAGCACAATATACAGAAATGAGACAGCCAGCATGTAAAGTCTGTGACATCGTAAGTATTTCAAACTTAATAATCCCATAACAACAAACTTTCTGGAACTCTTAATACTAACGTATGGTTATATGCAATATAAACTTTGATATAACACCACCACGAGTAAAACTTGAATTTTCAGTTGAATAAGCAAATCAGTTGTGCATTTTAAATTTTGTTCACTGTGATTACGAACTACAGAAAGTCATAAAAGATATTTAGACCATGTTGTTGGTTGAATCCTGCTTCTGCCAAGTTCCCCAGACCATCATTTGAAAAACTTTGGGTAAACAGAGTGGGGTGAAAGAGAAGTGTATTTATATATGCTAGATAAACAAACACACTAAAACCAAATCATAGTTCAGCAAACATAAATTCATTTTTTTTTAAACAGTGTCTCACAGACCAAACTGTAAACTTCATAGGTGGAATTTGGAAATTTTGTTTCGGTATGCTATTCTATCACACGTGTGGGATGGTGCAGTTGAAAAGAATCAGTCTAGAATTACCAAGCATCCAAGTTTCTTGCTTTATTTTTTTTTTTAGAAACAGCAGAAGTATAAAAACGTCCTAGTTGTCCCACTTAAGTGGGAATTTGATAGGTACAAGTTTGTCATTATATACTGGTTGGAGAATCACTTGACAAAGACAGATCAAACAATACAGTGTTCTCTCCCTCTCTACTACATTTTCCTAACCTAATCTCTCATTTGAGAGCTGCAGGAATTGGGATTTAAAGAGATGCCCAACTGGAAAAAAGGAAACTAAGAAGAGCAACATTTTTCCTTTATGTATGTTCAAGACAACTTAAGTGCATTTTTTTTATTTAATCTAGCTAAATTTGGCTATGGTTTTAAAATGTAATGCAATAAATATGAAATTATTTAGTAAATTTAAACCGTTTCAGATATGCTATAGTGTAACTCCATATGAAAAACAAAAGGTCCAAGTGTATTTGCTCTGGAAATATGGTAACCTTAACCAGTTCACACTCCCAAATACTCTCCTCAGCCACTTTCACTCTCAAACTCATCAAAAAAACGTATATCTTTTGGTTAGTGATAATAATGCCCTTTGTGGAACAGTTTACTTGGTAGGCTAAACTTTCCAAAGCCTCTTATACATGCCACCCATAGCGAACTTATTAAATAAAGAATGTTTTTCATTGTACTTAAAGTTTTTCTGGTCATGATGATACAAAACTTAAGAGTACCCTTATTTAGTAGCAGCTAAACT